GCTGTCAGAGCCACAGGTTAATTAAAACTAGCCAACTGGAAATAACTGATCCGAAGATACCTAATTTTCTTTTGTTGTAATTAAAGACGACTATAGACAGCTACCCCAAACTCAATGGGCTTTAACATTTAAATCTAACCATTTGTTTGTGGTAAATCATTTGGTGGCATTCTTTTACAAAGGACAAATAATTTAAACTTTGAGTCAAGTCCAACTTCAAATTGACGGGACATTCTCCCAGACACAAGTTTCTTTTAATTCGCAATAAACCTTGGCCCAGCAACATATAGTTTGTCACTGGTATCATCATCTCGAGATTTTATCATTCATAATTTTTTTTATCTTTCCATATGAATAAACAATGACAACTTTAATGTTTAAAATTGATATAAATTACATGAATTCGCCACTCTTTATGTAGTCTTTCCAGAGAATAATTTATAAGCTAAGCAGAATGTGTGTAACAGAGGAACTTCAAGAATCAACAAGAGACGCGAATAGCAAATGCGATGTTGCCAAGTTTTTCACGGGAATTCTAAAGAACTCTGCTTATGGCTTGACTAACAATGGTAGCCATTCTATCCTCACTGACACATTTCATCAAATACCTTTTAACACTAGCTTCTTCGTCCGTAGTTACTTAAATAAACAACACTAAAAATCATTACCCTTTTGGTTTCTTTCTACTGAAATAGGTAAACTCTTTACTGGATACCCCGTGATTGGGCAGAACAATCACATGCAATCATCTGGGACATGCCTAGGAAACTTAGAAGATGGAAAGATCACCGCATGCCCTTGGGATTCTACACTCGCACATCAGCTCTTCCACCAAACAGCCTTCAGTATCACCTTGTCTAACATTCCAAGCTTCATTAGAGATGTACAGAAGATAGTTGAATTAAAGCCACAAGCATTATGCGGATTAGAGGTCAACGGAGGAATCCTAATGCGTTATGTCAAAGCTTTGAGTGCTTACTTGGGTAAAGCAGAAGATGCTATCGATTTTGACATCACTTACTTCAGAAGCAAAGACCCACTGTCTCCGAGGCTTTTTGAGGACATTTATGAGGAGATTGAGCAAATAGGATTGTTCAAATACGGAGGGTTGCCCCACTGGGGAAAGAACAGGAACTTAGCATTCATTGAAGTGATCAAGAAGTACCCAAATGCAGAGAAGTTCCTGAGCGTGAAAAGCAAGTATGACCCACAAGGAATTTTCTCTAGCGAGTGGACAGATCAAGTTTTAGGGTTGAAAGAAGGTGTGACAATATTGAAAGATGGGTGTGCTCTTGAAGGTTTGTGCATATGCTCTGAAGATCGTCACTGTGCACCAAGCAAGAAGTATTACTGTAAGCCTGGTAAGGTTTATAAGGAAGCGAGAGTCTGTGCTTTTGACGATAAGGCTGATTTGAAGGAAGAGCTTTGATGGTAGGATGCTTTGAATCAATGGGCCGTGGCACAAACAGTACTCCTGCATTTATGGCATTATTAATTCAATAAAAGGAGTATGATTGTTGTAATTTATTATTGTCAATGCCATTTTCTTTTCCCCCATAATTACCATCACAAGGTACGAAAAATAATTTAGATCTTTTTCTTTATAAAAAGAGACAAAGTCACTTCACTTTTAATTTCTTGATCTGAGGAGAAGGATTAAGGAGTATATAATTCGTGGTTGGGATGGGATGGATTTAATGCACATCCGCTTTAATTATCCGTTTTTGGCGCCTTGCTTTTTCACTGCATTATGATATGTGCTTCATGCTTCTGCTGGTCTTTAAATCAAGCTAATTACGCTGTGTTATCGAGACGTTTTCGATATGGCTTTGATATATAAATATATATATAGAGAGAGGGGGGGGGAGGGAGGGAGAGAATTAAATTGATAGCACTGGTTATCGTTATGGCTTATAAGCTAAGGTTAATTAATGAAACATGCAAATCTTTAATTCGTGAACTTCGGAAGTTCATGAGTGATAAAATCTTTAATTGGTGCAGTGTATCGACCTTGTAGACACCTAAGGGCTCCATACAGTATTCTTGATTGTTGTGTGAACCCACAGTTATTAATAACAAAGCCCAGTTTCGGAGACGGTTCATGTCAGAAAGTGCTGAAATTGATGAAATGTGGACCTTGATGGGGGAAAATTACATGGATGAGATGGATGATGATGTTGAATAACAGAGATGATGTGTGGGTGGAGGTGGTGATGAAGATGCAGAAGAGATTGAAGATGAAGACTCTCAAGTAGGGGGGCCTAGCAGAAACGACCAAATGCTTGAAGCTCATAGAATCGGCAATGTGATTGAATATATAGAGAACAAGAAAAGCCATCTCCCATTGATGAAGATGAGAGGAATATACATTATGAACTCCTCGTCCTTCCTTGGAATGCCAATAACAATGATTAATGGGAGACGTGTGAGCCAGTAAGTCATATTCTTTAGGTGGGAGCTTAGGATATCATGGATTATAATAAGGATTTGAGTATATTCTATTACCTTGTAGGTGAGATTAATGAAAGATAGGGACGCTGGAGGAGGCAAAGGCTATGCTTTTGTGGCATCTATAACAAAAGAAGTTGCACAAAATGCCATTCAAGAGTTACATAACAAGGAGTTCAAGGTATCTATGATGCTGTTTGAAAATGGTATTTTTCCTTTTCTGTAATGAATTTCAGAGAGCAACATTGCGTCAAGGATCTTCTGGTGTTTAGTTACTACTACCTCCCTATTGATTTCTTTCATCAGCATGACAGGTGTGGGATGTGAAATTTTCATGTACGCTAGAAGTTTCATTAATTGTCATTTGTCTAGGTTCTCATAATTTAAAAGGCAAAGAAAATAAAGTTCCTAGCTTCTCTAATTCTTCCAGTATTTTTGCAAACTAATTGTTGTCAGACCTGTTACAATAAGTACCATAACACAACATTTTGTTCTTTGATTCGTGCTGCCACGTAATGTCGGGAGTCGTTTGGGTGTTTGATGTTAGTTAGATTCACTAATGACAACCAAATCATGAGGAAAAATTTTTTTGAACATCAAATAATGTGGTGCTAAGCTAAGATGTTCACCATCATACCTGAGGGTGCTACCATTGAACAACTATGAACTCGGCATGGGGAAGTAACCAAAATGGTCATGGCCCCTGGCAAAAGAGGAGGGAAACATGTTTTTTTTTTTTTTTTTCATTTATTATGCGGAGAGAGAGGTCTAGTGCAGTGAAGGCTGTAAAAGATACAGAAAAATGTAGATGGTAGCGGTTCTAAATGATATAGGCTGGCCTTCTCTTTACGTAAATCTGTGTTTTGTTTTTCTATATCCTTGTCTTGTGTAAGTATCAATTGAAGCTGTTTATCACATAGCGTTATGTTTACTCCGAGACAGGCTCGTCAGTGTGTTGGATGTTGTTCTTGCAAAGCCTCAGTTCTATAAAAAGAAAAAAAAAAATCTGATGAAGTTGTGTCTACAACACCGGCCTTCATTTGAATCTTCTTCCACATCAATGGCATGGCGACAAGAGCAAGTGAACCAAGAACCAGCCCCACTAATGGCTGGAGGCCAAGAGAAGTGATGTTTCTTGCCCCACCCAGTAGCGTTTGTCAGTGGTAGTTTAGTAACTTGAGAAATGGAATAGCTTTCATATATAATCAAAATCCCCTCTGTACCTACTTCCACCCACACCAAAATAGAAGGAAGTAGAAATCATGGAAACGTAGGTAGGATCAACAACAGTGGTTAATGCTGGTTTTTCTTTTTTTAGATGAGTCAGCTGATCCAATCAAAGCCTTATTGTCTGCCTTGGCTTCATTTTCCTGACAAATCAGTAGAAAAAGAAGTTGCCAACAGTTTAGCTTCAAGGTAAGAACACTCTGTTTGTTTGATATATTGCAAGAACAGAGACAACAGAGGAGCGAATGTTATGGTTGCTCTGAGACAAAAGAAAGTAAGATTTTATAAACCAACAATCTAGGAGCCGAAAGAATGAACCTCAATCTTTCTGAACTGTACACAAATCTTCTCCGAGGTTGCAATAGAAGCATGATCTGTCAATGGAAGTGATTGGGAAGATAGATAGCTGTGTCGTATTCAATCTGTCATTGGAGGTCAAACAAGTAGCGAACATCTTTGCCGTATAGCTTCTATGGGACGAACGTGTTGACGGTGGACGTAGAGGTTAGAGAAAATGACAATTGAAACACGCAATTATTTCTTCAGAAAGTAACACTACAGTTAATGTGAAAGAAGGAAAGCTCACTATAATAAGTTTGTTTTACCACAAGTGATGAGAATCCGGACAATCAATGAGACGACACAAAGCATATTTTATTAGGTGGATGGACCGTTACTTTCTCGATAGAAACACGTCATGGTTGATTTATCTTATAACACAAGTCAGAGAAGTATTTAATGGATAATGATGATGTCATAATTAAAATGTGTGTTTGTGTGTGTGATATACGATTTCAAGACTGAAGAAGTTATACGCTAAGACATGAACATTGAATCGCGCTTTCCTTGATCTGATATGACCATATGTGGTGATGAAAAAACTGAAAATAGTTAGAAACTTAAATAAAAGCCAATGCGAGAATTGAACAATGAAACATGCAAGAACTACTTATTTTGCTTTTGTGAAACTAGGATAATGAACGGCTATGTAACGTGAAACCATCATATTATTACTACCTTGGACCTTATTTAAAACATCTCATCCGTAATCTATAAGTGAAATCTTATAATTAAAACTGGAAGTAATGTGATATTAAAATATATCAATTTATTTATGTTTACCGGAAAAAAATAAAAGGAGTTATAATCAAATTTCAAATATACCATAAATATGAATTATCGATGCTTCTGACCGGGAATATTAGGCTCCTTTCTGCAATCCCTTTAGCATTATCACATCCCTCGTTGTCCGACATGTATTCGTTCAAATGAAATGCCATTAAAACACCGTTCACAATGGAATACTAAATTTGTAACATGGGAAAGAAGAAACAAATTGATCTGTCAGTCAATTTTATCAACGTAAAATATGAACTCTAATTGTTCCAATTGACATTTTCTGTTACATTGGATAAGAAAGGTTTCAACACTTACTTATCACCTACATCCCATCACACCTTTACCGAAGGTGACATTTTACGAGAACACAGATGTTAAAAAATAATAATTTTTTTTATGTATTTGATTTGGATTTTTAACCAGCCTGGTTGTCTAATAAAAATAAATAAAGGAAACACTGAAACTGGCGTGAGCTTTGTCATCCAATAATAGCGTTCCACGTGGAGCATTCAGGCCTTGGTCGGGACCTTAACAGGATATCTGTGAACCGAGTCCTCCCAGGGATTCCCCCGCCAGTCACCGACCGGAATCCTCCTCATCGCCTTCCACACAGCACTGTTACACTTAAAACCCGACCCGAATGCTATCTGCCATACCCGATCCCCCTTCCCGACCCTGCCTTTGGCCTCCGTATACGCCAGCTCGTACCACAGCGAACTGCTAGATGTGTTACCGAACCTGTGAAGCGTCATCCTCGACGGCTCCAAGTGCCACTCACTGAGTTCCAAGTTCTTCTGCAGCTCGTCCAGCACCGCCCTCCCTCCTGCGTGAATACAAAAATGCTCGAAAGCCTTCTTGAAATCTGGAATGTAAGGTTTCACCTTGGAATTCTTCAACACCTTCTTCCTAACCAACGACAAGAAGAACATGAGTTGCTCCGAAAACGGAAGAACCATCGGCCCCAACGTTGTTATGTTCGTCTTCAAAGCGTCTCCGGCGACTGCCATCAGCTCTCTGGCCAATGAAACGCCCACCGTTCCTTTCTCGTCTTCTCGCTGGTAAACGCAGCGGTAGTTTTTGTCGTCCGCTCCTTTGTGGGTTCGAACCGTGTGGACTAATTGGTATTTCGATCGGCCCCTGTCGGAAGATTTGTTGGATAAGAGCATGGCGGCGGCGCCCATTCGGAAAATGCAGTTGCAGAGAAGCATAGAGCGGTCGTTTCCGAAGTACCAATTGAGGGTTATGTTCTCGGTGCTGACGACAATGGCATAGGAATTGGGGTTTGCTTTTAAAAGGTCTTTGGCTAAATCGATGGAGATTAAGCCTGCACTGCAACCCATTCCTCCAAGATTGAAACTTTTTATGTTGGTTCTGAGTTTGTAGTGGTTGATGATCATGGCGGAGAGAGATGGGGTTGGGTTGAACAAGCTGCAATTCACTATGAGAATGTCAATATCTCTGGGTCTAACTCCTGTTTTTTCGAAAAGAGCATCCAGAGCTCCAAACATGACTTTCTCTGCCTCATGACGAGCCTCTTTCATGTTCAGGTTCGGTGGTTTAGACATAATCCCTCTGGGCAAGTACGTTTCATCTCCTAAACCAGACCGAATCGCGATTCTCTTTTGGAACTGAAAGGTTTCGTCCTCAAACCCACCAGTTTCCTCCGTCATTTTGAGGAACGAGTCAACTGAGATTTTCCGTTCGTCTTCCGGTTTGTAACAAGCAAAGTCGACGAGGTAGACGGGTCTCGACCTGCTCGCCCAGTAGAGGCTGATGAAGACAAGCAAGGCGGCGGAACCGGCAAGCTGGGTGACAGAATCGTTACTGTTGAGATGAACAGTCTGGTGAGACCAGAGTTGGGACAACCGGTCGAGCGTGAGACCAGTGAACTGAACCAGCAAGGAGATGAACCAAGGCACGAGGACAGCGAACATGACGAGGGTTGCGGCGTTGCATGAATAGCCATAGCCTAGCCCTAACTTGACGTACTTGAGCTTGACAGACTGCAAGAAATCCGGGAGGCGTCGGTGGATTCTGATGACGGCAGAGGAGGAGTCCTTGAAGTTCATCTCCGCCGTGAGTCTCTCTCGATCCATGTCAATGCTATTAGCATTATGGGCAGCCATCTCGAGAGAGTGGGAAGTTTTGAATTTGGAAGAAATGGGTGGGAGATTGAGGGGGTTATAAAGGGAAGGGCGGAGAGGAGATGAAAGGAAGAAGGTGAACTAGAAATGAAGGAGACAGTTGGAGCACATGGGCTTAGGATATTAACCGCAAGAAAGCTAGCTGCTTATGAGAGGGAGCAGTTTCTTTCGCCATTCATCACTCAACTTGTGGATAGCTCAACCACTTTTGGAAAGCTACGCGCTCCAAATTCCAAACAATATCATTTTCTTTTTTGAAGGAGACAGTTGGAACACAGGGGCCTACGATATTTGGAATTTACTGTTCCTTTTACTAATTAATTATTTTGAGGTTTTAATTACTACAACTTTCTATCTTTAATTTAAGAGCTAATTAACTAATTGAGTATATTAAAAAAATTTATTAAGTTAGTTATTTATAATAAATATGTGTTGTCTTTCCTATAATACCCTTATAATCATGTGTATTAGTTAGAACTATTATTTGATGTAATCTTTAACATATGGAACTATTACAAGAATTACTTTGAAAAAAATATATAAATATCAGGGACAAAAGAAATCAAGATATTATATACAAAATCAAATTATAAATCAAACTAATTTTTATATTAAGAATCGGAAGGAATTAGTATATCTCAAAGAAATTAGGGGAGATTATTGACTAAAGGAGGTCATGAGATCTCTGTTTGCTTCCATATTTGACTGGTCATCGACATAAGAAGCCGTAGATTTTCAAATGCAAATGTCAACTCATGAGTGGGCTCACCACCAACGATTCTTTGATGATTCATTCTTAAATGCACTGCAAAAAAATGTCACCAAAATTTATTGAATCCAGTGCTTCTTGTTGTTGTTTATGAACTACATTTATATGTAACTTTAGTACGTGTGACCTTTTAAAATTCCCCTTTTATAAATATTTTATTCTCTTAAAAAGTTTATAATTTACAAACAGTATCATAATCATTCAAATTCAATACATCGCTGTAGATGTTGGCCAAAAAAAAAAATACATGAATGTAGATAGATATTCTGGTTCCAGGCATTGCATGAAGTTTGGGAAATAAACCACATGACTCGTGTATAATGTATCTTCTCAGAATTTTTTTTTAATTACACATATAGATTATGCCAAAAATTCATGTCATTGTATCATATCACTAAGAGCATATTTGAATATTGTCTTCTTCTGGTTAAAAAAAAAAAAGGTTTATATTTCACGAATAATATGTAAATTTCTTGCAATTGTTACCAAAAAACTTCAGTAGGTTATGGTATAAAAAAAATTAAAGTATAATTTCTAACAAATTCCTCATGAAAGTTATAATTTTAGTATTTTTTTTTTAAATAAAGGAAAACATTTTTGTGATAGAAATCTCCCTTACGTTTTAAATGAATTGATATACATATATGGATTGATGATGACTGATTGATTGAAATTAAAGGGGAGGCGTAATCTTTTATAAAAAAAAATGGAGGGCGGGAGAGAAAAAACTAAAAAAGAAAGGGTGGGACCAGAAGATGGCTGGAACTGGTAGTCGTTGGTAGCTGGCCATAAAGGAACAGTTAATGATCTAATCGCTGCCCTTTCCTCATCCACCATCCCCCGCTTTAAAATACTAAGGGGGTGTTTGGATAACCTCAAACCATGGTTTGGAGAATAACTTCTGGAGAATAGATTCTGGAGAGAATAGATTTTGAAAGAATAGCTTTTCTAAAAAAGTGATTCTGATAAAGTGAGAGTGTTTGGATAGTTGTTGTCAGAAGTACTTTTTTATATGTAGAAATTACTAAAAAGGACATAAGTATAAATGATAATTACATATAAGATATATTTCATAATATATCTTTATTTAAAATAAATAAAAAAAATTAATAAAAAAATTAATACGTACATATATTAATAAAATAAATAAATATGTTTTTTCCCAAAATTAATTAATAAAATAATTAAATATGTATATATATTAATAAATAATATATATTAATAAAATATGTATATATATATCACCGTTGGAAGCTACTAAGGGACCAATAATTACCAACGACTATTTTGACTCCTCAGAAGGCTCCTCAGAAGCGGGTGGCGTGCAGCTTCAACCGAAACCAAGGTTTCCAGCTCAAAACCATGGTTTTGCTGGAAACCATGGTTTTTAAAATTTTAAGGGTGTTTGCAAATTTTTTGCCAAACCATGGTTTGGCAAAAAACCCAAACACCCCCTAAATCAAATTAAATGATTCCGGATTCCCCAAACAAAAAAACCACCCCTTTTTTTTTTAATCTCTAACACAAAAACCACATTTTAAGGTAACTAAACATTTTTCCCAAAAAAATTTAATTAAACACATTTTTCGCATTATGGATTACTACAATTAAGTTCTATAAAGTTTGGGGGGAAAATGAGAGAGAGAGGAAATGCATGCTGTGCTTACTCCTAAAATAAAAAATTATAGTTCTAGTAGAACCCGTAAACTCCAGGTATAGTCATGATTACACACAAGAGAGGATATGATCACGATGCAATTTCAGATTCAGATTTTATATAGATATATGTGTGTGTTTTTTTGGGGGGGGGGGGGTGTTTACGTAAACTAGAGCTTGTTGTCCAATAATGTGAGCTCAGAAGTTGACTATGGATGCATGATATCCTAGATTAATTAACGACAGATGAAACTCATGATGAAATTCATATGGATATGGGAATCTCAGCAATTGTTTCGGATCCATCACCAATTTTCCCACTATATATACTCTTCCGCTACTTAATATAAGAATTAATTTGAGAATTAATGTTAATCCTATAAATAAGACCTATTTTAAATATTTATCATTTTTTTCAAATTAAGCCTATCAGTATTCCTTCAACAACGGTCAAATAAGAGGTTAAATGAGGGAATTAAGAAAGATTATTAGGGTGTTTTAAAAAAATATCACATTAGCTAACTTAACTAATATTCTTAATCTACTCAAATTAGTTAATTAGATCATGTATTAAGGATCGGAAGATTATATTGTTTTCATTTTTTTTGTGATTATTTGATTTTTAACCTTAAAAGAATTCATTCATCCTTATCCAAAATATATGCATATATATAATGTGTTTACCCAGGACATATATAATACTCGTAGTATAATACTTTTCTGGTCATATTTATAAGGTAGAGAGGAAAGATTTGTTTAGCCCTATTTATAAGTTATTTCTTTAAATTTTCAGTGTGAATATATTATTTTATCCTTCATTTATTATAATATAGGTAGTCACCTTTTTAAAAATATGTATATATTAAATATCGGTAAAGTTAAAAAATTAATACATTTTAAGGTTTTTTTTAATCTGTATGAAATATGTTGAAATTACCTTATAAATAGGATGATGGGAATACAAAGCCTGTCTAAGTGAACAAAGTCAACGGTAATCTTAGCCACCCATTTTGTGGTGATGATAAATATCCTACTATTTTGAGTTCTTTCACTAGCGCGCGCCCATACATACACATATATATACACACATGCGCGCGTGTGTTAAAGTGTATTTTTTATCCTTTAATTTTGTATAAGATTTTAATTTAATTTTTTAATTTTTAAAAGTATATTTTTAGTCATTTAATTCTAAAACTTTTTAAAAGATAATGACATTAAGATCTCAAATGTTAATAAAATATTCTCAAATGTTAACATATTAAATATAATTTTCAAACCATCCATAATTGTTATAAAAAAATTATCAAATCTTAATGATTTTAAAATTAAAAGACTAAATGTATATTTTTTAAAATTAAGAGACTAAATTAAAACTATATACAAAATCAAAACAGTGTATATATACACACACGCGCATCGCGTAACATAAACAACTAAAAAGCACACTCTTTTTCTTTTTCAGTTTTTGGTCACATGAGTGTTTGAACCCCCTACTATCATCTATATGTCAGACGACAGACGTCACTCTATCCTTAAAAAATAAAGCTGCCGATTTCCCTCCTCCATCCCCAAACTTTTAAATGTAAATCGTTTAAAACTGAAAAAAGTGGATAATCACCAAGAAAAATAAAATGGTGAAGCGACACTGAGTGGCGTCTGCAATACTGCAAACAATATTCCTAAATATAAAAATTAGTTTGTGATATAAATTACATTATAAGCTAACTCTTATTTTTATACTTGGAAGGTAGTACTACTTTCAATCCTAATTATAAGAGCTATTTGACTAATTTGAAGAGATTAGGGAAAAAAATTAAGTTAGTTATTTGCAATAAATATGTGTTATCTTTCCTAAAATATCCTTATTAATCAAGTGTATTGGCTATAACTATCATTATTAGAAGGATTATCTTAAAAAAATATGAGAGATAAAGTGGATTGAGGTCTTATATTTAGGATCAAAATAAAAATTAAACAAGATCTTATATTAAAGACTAGAAGTAGTACTATTATTTATGGTAGTGGAATCGAAGTCAAAATGTATTGGCCAGAAAAATAAACTATAGAAATAAAGATGTAGAGATGACTTTAGGCCAACCATTTGAGATATCAAGGCTCAACATCCCCAAGATGGTTCAATTTATATCACTTTTTTTTTTTTGGGGGTTACGAATACATATTACTCTTTTATCTTCAAAAATCACAAAATTTCAAAATTAAGTAAACCATCTGGATGAGATGAGAATATAGCATCATGATTCAATCCTTATCTGCACAAAACTCATATTCATGTTGCAAATGAAAACCGGAAGAGAAGACTTGAAGAAGCAGGGTATGGGTATGTTTGGATCAGCGTTTTTGGACCTAAAACGTGTTTGAACTTGATCTGATCTTACTCCTTTTGTCTCTTATTATAAGATCTAATTTTTTGAATGGGTACTTCTCTTTTTATAAGATTCTTTTTGAATTTGTCTGAGCATTTAATATAGTATTACCTATTTTACCTCTAATTTAATATATTTAATATATTCTTTTTCTTTATTTATTTTACTATTTCTCTCTTACATTTATCCATTTGTATATAAGGATATATTTGAGAAACAACTGCATTTGCTACATATT